TTTTTTTTTTTTTTTTTTACGTGTATAATGTCTACAAACACTCCGGTACTGAGCCTCGAGTGGCCTATGAACTATAATATTATTATTATTATTATCGTTCGTAGGCAGGTATAGTGGTTATATGTTATTGTTGTTGTTATTATTATTATAATTATCGTCGTCGTCAAAGAAACGTCTGTGGCTGCGGGTGGAAAAAAAAAATACCGCGGGTATAACGCGTATGCGGTATAAAATATATTTTTTTAATTAGTCCGAGCCGCGGTGGCGACAGTGCATCGCGACGGCGGATTCTTTTTATCCGAATACGAAACGCGCGACGACCCTTCGCCTCTCGCGTCGTTCCATCGTCGCCGCCATCACGTCCCGCGGACCTCAAAGAGGAACGTAACGTATGCTATTATTAATATCGTATAAAATATTTTTCTGACACAATATATTCATCTTGGTAATTTTATATACAAGACTACTACTACTACTACTACTACTACTACTACTACTACCACTACTACTACCACCACTACTACTAATAATAATAATTGAAAACTGGTGAGAACGGGTACGTTATTATTATATTATACTACACTTGGGCGTATAAACTCGCGCAGGGTGTCGTTTATTGTATACGCGACAGCGTCAGCCATGTGCTCGTATTATTATACAAAAGTATACATATATACACTTTACGTATGTACCATAATATAATAATATACGACGCGTATAACGTCACGGATATTATTATTATGAAATTCATTTCCTTCGCGTATGTGTAACTAAACGCCGACGATTTTGATTTAGGGGGATTTTTTTTGTATGTACCCGGCAAAAAAACCGGGTTTTAAAAAAAAAAAACTACCCGTGAACAGCAACAGACCTCCGGATACTAAAGGGAGACGGATACTATACCCTCCACATTCGGCATTGTACGTAGTAGATATTAATACGGTATATGATACCTACTATAAGCATTGTTGAGACTTATCTAGATATTATTTGTTTATCAAAGGTGTATTTAAGATACAAATAATAATTATCTAGATACAATATCAAAATATACTTAAAAAATAAAAAAATTGTTTGGATAGGCTCTATATACATACCATGCATACTAAACAGATAACTCTTCGTAAATAGATAAAAAATGTAATCCTCAATGGAGATGGTGGGTGTGTAGGAGGGACGAAGTCACGATGTCGCCCACATTACATTTTTTTCAAGCGTATACTCACTAAAAAATTTAGGACTACATTACTGGTGTAACCGTGTCGCATTGCACGTAAATAATAATAATTTTAATAATAACTAATGATTTTTTTTTTTATGCCGTCTATATAAAATAGTTGTGTACCACCATGTTTCAGTAAATTATAGTACAAAATATTAATAAAAAACAGTATAGATTAAGAATAACTTGTTAATAATTAATGTTTTATTATTTACATTAACTGTTTGAATATTCGAAATTATATAGTTTTCTTGACAAAATCAGTGTAATATGATAAAACAAAAAAAAGAATTATTTTTTTATTTAAATAAATAACACTTATCTAGTTTCTTAGATAAGATAATTTAAATATGTATTATCTTTTTTTTGTAATTATATGATTTCAAAACAGCCGTCTTTTATCTTTATACAGATAAATGTTAACTATAGAGAAAAAATAATGCTGATATTTGAACGTAAAAATGTCGTATGGTTGTATTTAATAAGTGACTTGAAGCACCTTAATTTACAGGGTTTTTTTTTTTTTAGTTAACAATTTTTCATCTTTAAATCCGGCGTAATATTATATAAACTCAACATACTTTTTTTATTATTTTTTTTTTTTAACTTCGTTTTTTAAATTTATAACAAACATTTCTATACTGAAATCACCGAAACGTTGAGCGGCAGACAGCTAAAAATGTGTCCAGACAATAAATCGTAAAGATACGCGTAACGACTCGCATTCACTGGCTATCATTTCGTTTTATCTCAGTAAAGCGTATAAAATATATTATCAGTTGTACACATACACGCATTTAAAAAATAAACAAAAATAACAAGTCAGGTCTGAAACTCGTCCGAGTAGCTGAGTCCTCGAATTATCATTATTATTGTAATTGTTTTTAGATTCAGTGCAAAGCGAAGGTTTTACGGAAATGTCTGTTTTATATTTTTCTAGATTCTGGCTGGAACAAGGAATGTATAGGTTTTACAATGATGTTTATTTATTTTGCCACCAATTTTTCTCTGATTTTCAAGTATGGCATTTTTTTTTCAAAGGAAATCTGACTGAAGTAGTACTTTGAGGAGGTCATTTTTTGATTTTCCCAGGGGTTTTTAAAATAAATGAAAAAAATCGAGGTAAAACGTAGGGGAAACGGGAAAATTTACGAAATGTATTATTTTAAAATCGTAAATGTTACAGCCCTTCAAAACCATGTAAAACCGAATTCACTCAGAATCATTTTTGTTTGCGAAGATTAATAGTTACATACAGATATACATTTAGTTCCCCTCTAAATCCTACTTTCTCAACTTCTCATCTGTAAGAATGGTTCACCCATCGTGCAAAGTCTATCCATATCTTTTTTATATTTTTGTATCTGTGAGCAACTTTTTTGCAGAAATCTTGCTCCGATGGATGAAATGTAGCATAGCGCCTTGCCTGAACGGAAATTATATTTTATTGGTATATTGAGATCATTTTTTGATTTTCCAAAGGGTTTTCAAAATAATTGGAAAATCCGGAAACAAAGTTGTAGCTAAATTAGGAAAATATTAATTACGGCATGCCACGGCATAACCGATTGCATTGTTTTTAATTTTTGCAAACTCTGTCTTAAATCAGAAAGTCATTTTTTGATTTTTCCAACAGTTTTTTTTTTAATAATTTAATAAACCAAAAAAAACGTTGAACCATCAAGAATAAGTACAAAGATAATAATTTATTATTTTAAATTTTGGTTTTTTATTATAATTCAGTAAAAATATTCGTAGAAAATTGAAATTTTGACATAGTACTTATATGTTTGTTTTTTTTAAAACTTGGTAAAAGTTCCAAAATATTTAAGTGTTTTATAAACTATTAATTTTGCGAGTTATTTACGTAATTTTTATTTAGTAGATTCTCTGTGGATACACTAAAACAAAATACTTGACAATTTAACATGAGATTTATTGGAAATTGTACTTAATTAATAGCTAAATTATCTATAAAGAGTTTTCTCACAAGAAATATAAGATTTCTGATAGCACAAATGTTTTCTAGTTAGTGGATTTTTTGGATTTCCTAATAATGGAAAAATTAGGTAAAGACATTAAAAATGCACTGAACACTTAAATTAGACCTTCATAGATATTGTAAAATTTTAAATAACATGAATTATATATAGAATTTTAAAATTATCGCAGTTTAATTTTGATTAGGCTTTCTATGCCGATAAAGATTATCTATGCCCAGCAAAGATAATCGACAATTTGATACAACAATACCAGTACTACCTAGATACTTCAATTTCCATTGTAGTCATAAATTAATAGAATTTCCAATTTAAGTTTATCTGAACACGTTTAACCGAATACAGAATCGTTCTTCGTTTATTGATCTGACTATTAAATCATCCTATAAAAAAATATACCAAATCACCCTGTATATACATTATAATACCTTTTGAAATCCCAACACTAAATTAGATAACATAAACAGAAATACACATAATTTAGGATTAAAGGGGTTATAGTTGTTGGAAAAACCGGACAGAACTGTAGGTTTTGAATAATCGAACTTGATAGATTTTAAATGTATTCCGAAAAAGCCGTATAATATAATATCCATCAGGCATGGATCTAGAAATCATAATTGAGATGAACAAAAGAGAGGTTTAAACCAAACAATATTTTCAACGACTACTTCTTTATTTATAAACAAATATTTAAATAAATTCAATTTAAACATAAATTGAAATTAAGATCAAACAGTTTATTTTGTCTTTGACCAGTCTTTTATTAGCACTCGTCATGTCTTCGGTCTAAAAAATCTATTTATGTCTTTATATACATTATTCGGTACATTACGGACAATTGATAGCACTGATTAACTAATCCTTAATCAATTATTATTTACTAAACTTGATAACAATGTTACGGAATTCTCTATCGGTTTCCTTTATATTGATTTTAGAATTTATCCTTGTATTTTGAAAATTGTTTGTTTTGTTGTTATCACAAATCGAAAAATAAAAAATGTATACAAATTGATATTACAGTTGAAAATAGTACGATATTATGAGTTCTAACTATTACGGATAAATGGTTTTACAAGTTTATAACGCAAGTTTTTATAATTATAACTTTAACGATTGAATAAAACTACTCTGCATTGTGTTTTCTCCGTTTTAAGCACTATAGTCTTAAAAAACAGCTGATTACTACATTTATATTGATGGTTGTCGGATAAGCCATTCTACAGTAGTCGATGGACGACCATACTATCTTAAATCATGGTTCTAACTAAAACAAACGCACATCAGCGTCAAAAGACCGACGACTGACAAGGAAAATCCGCCAGACAACGCTACACACGATCCAATTTAGTGTGTATGTCAGGCGGTCGGGCGGCACCGGGCCACCCACCAGAGAAGACCCGACAGTATTTTAGTCAGACGAAATGTCTACATACGACCTGATATGATATCTGACCTGACCGAATTATCCTGTCAGCCCGACTAGATCATACTGTAATACAGTATGTAGAATAATACATAACCTGTATAATAAATTTGTTCTATCTCACAGTGTCCTACACCCGCCACACAACGCTCGGTGATGTGCGAGGAGTGTCGTAATTTTGTTAAATGCATATTGTTGTATTGTTCGAAAGATACGAAAAAATTTTGTATACAGTGGACGCTGTTTATGAAACTCACTTTAGGACCAGCACGAAATTAGTCTTATAACTGAATGAAGCTTATAGGTGAATTGGAGAATGAATAGAACGTGTTTGGATATTTCCGGAACGTTTAAAGTGATTTTGAGTCAAATAAAAGAGACTGAACCTTACATCCGTGATTCTTATAAGTGGCGTCCACTGTAAAAAAAAAAAAAAAAAATCAAGACTACGTTAACGGTGCGTTAAACATATAAATTGTTTCCCGCAATTACCAAGTAACAAATGATAAAGGTAATAGCTGGTAATGGTTATACGATATTTTATTATAAATTGTCCAAAACGAGATGCACCAATATATAAGGAACCAAAGGAAATTTCCGTTCATCGCGTGTTTCCGTTTTACAAACGTTTCAAATATGAGTGTGAAAAATAATTCGATTTTGGGACCGTTCAAATTTCCGTTTTGTAGATTGTTTCCGATGTACTGGCGACGCGCGGTGTCCGTTTCAGAGAGATTTTCGGAGACGGATAGCTATTTCATCACCGAGTTCGGATCATTGTCTGCGGGTTCGGAGGGAGAAAAAAATAATTAAAGACATCTCGGGTGAAAACTTCACCGACGACGTAATAATAATTTTATGAATATTAAGGTAAATTATGACGGCCACGTGTACACTATATTTCGCCTGCAAAACAAATAGTATTTTTTTTTCTTTATAAATATATAAAAGCAATCACAATAATTAATCGTCTATTGTCTTATTATAATAATAAATAACACGCGGTTCATTGTCGGGCCTTAATGAAAAATGCAGTTATCGACACGCTGAGTTATATTATAGGCAGAGACGTTTTCCTTCTTTCCCTTTCTATTTTTTTTTTTTTTTTATTTTAATAATTACTAGATTTGTAAGCATTGCCGGATTGAGAAATCAAACAGACCCGAGTTATAATTTGAAGCCAACCTACCCTCAATTTTTTTTTACAGCATTTGAATAACCCATTTTTGATAAATTTACAAATAGCCAGATTACACTGAAAAATAATAAAAATGAGCTAATACTGTTGATAGGTATACCGCTGTTGTAAGTGGGAAGTCAGAAATGTTGGATATATAGAATTATTTTATTTAAATCGGCATGAAACGATAAATCATTGCTAACGAAATACGATTCTGAAAGGTATTCGGTTAACATAATTTGAAATGCTGCAATATTTTCGTAAAATTTTAACTTAAAATAGAGTATAAAGATACTACATTTGCATTTTGCCGTTAAAAATCGAAGCACAGCGAGAGATCTATTGGTTTCACTATGATGTGTGCTTTTTTTTTTGTCTGTATGCAAATTTTCGAAAACGAATCTCCTCCCGATGTATAATGTTAAGAAATTTATCTGAAAGGAAATTTCGTCTGTATAGTCAGATAATTTTATGTTTTTTCAAGCGATTTTTGAAATAATTAGGAAAGACTTGAAAGAAAATTATATGTAAAACGAAAAATGTTTACGGTGCGTCGCGGCATAGCAGATTTCATTTTTTTTTTTTCATTTTTTCAATTTATGTTTTATACCAGAAATATTACTCAAATTGGAAAATGACAAGATACCGATTTTTTTCTTTTTAACACATAGCCACTATTAAAGAAAGTTATTTTTTGATATCTAAGGTATTTTTCATAATAACTTGGAAAAACCAAAAAAAGACGAAAAATACGATTTCATACAGCACGAATTTAAATAATTTCATTATTTAAAATTTTTACGTCTTATGTTTAGCATAAATATTGTTCCTAAAATAAAATGACAAAAGACCTTTTTTATTTCGTTTTTAATCTTGTACTTAAATCAGAAAGTCGTATTTTGATTTTTTTTTTTCAATCGTTTATTTAATAATTGTGTAAACCCAAAAAATAAACTTAGAAAGAACAGGAAAATTTACAAAAATAATGCATTTATTATTTTCATTTTTTTTTTTTTTTTTTTTGTTGCAATTTGATTAAAAATATTCGCAGGGAACTAAGAAGTTTGACATACTATTTTTTTTTCTTAATGTCTTAAAGTTTTCAAAACATTCCAGCCATTTTTGAGCTGTTTCTAGTCATTTTAATTTTACGAGATTTTTATTTGAGAGTACTTAATTCTATGCATAAAATTGTTAGATTATTAGATTAAACAGAAATGCTTAAAAATTTAATATAGTTGTTTTAATAACTTTAAAACAAATTTTGAAGTAAAAATTACGATGAACCTCGTATAACTTTATCTTAATTGTCTTTGTCTGTTCGACCAAGCCATTTTTTTTTTATATAAAACCGGATAAAAACGAGTAAAAAAAATAAAACTAGAACATATCAAATACCTTAAATTTTATTACAAATAGCTCTAAAATAACCAGTATGTTATTATTCTTTTAAAACCTCCACCGTTATTTTTTTTACCGAAATTACAATATAAAACCAAAGTCGAAAGTAATCAAACCGGTGTTTCCGTAAGCTTTCCCGTTTTCACCAGTTATAAGAAAGTCAAAAAATTATCCCCCAATAAGATTCAAAATTCTACAAATGAATTCTCGTGTTGTTTTTTGATTAAAGCAAGATATTTCTGGTGAAAAATTTGATCATAGAACTAAAAAAATAGATACACATTATAACTAATACACTCCTCAATAATCTCAGAATCCAAAACATGATATATCTGTAATACAACTATCACATTATATTATTCATTATGTTTATTGTTCATGGAGCAATAATTGTAATACCTTAATGATTATTGATTATATATTTTGTTTCAATTACATTTATCCGTTTCTTCATTTATTTGATTTCTACTGTCATTTTTTACGATGGTTATTGTTTTATCGATCACTTTTCCATAGATATTTCGTTTTTTGGCGAACGTATAAGTTTTGTATACCCAAAAATGTTAATATTTTGCGGTCCACCGAATTTGGTTCGGCAACTTGCCAGTTCAATTCGACCTTGAATATGTAATTAACCTATCTACATATTTACTGTTATAAGTCAAATGTTCGAAAGCCGCAAAAGAATACTCAGAAACATCGAAAATAAAAACTCAATTATTATTTAGTATTTTAAAGTTTGCAATCAAGTCAACTGTTTCTATATAGACATACGCATTTCTTCGAAACATTAAAGATTTAGATTGCCTAGTATTTGATTGAACATGTTTTACTAAAACACGATTTTGTATTTATATATTAGTTTCTTTTTTAATATTTAAATACAAGGTTGGATTATTCGATCTTTTTTTTCCTGATCGTTGAAGTTTGTGAACATTTACGGTATACAATTTTGTACCTGGATATAACTTATAATTTCAAAAGCTACAAATTTGTTTAAATAAAAGTACAAATTACTACGGGAAAATAGTAATGTTAGGTATAAAAATATAACAAATAGCTGGGCATTAACATGTTAAAAATGTAAAATTTAAATTTAAGTTTATGTACTTCACTTTTAACTTTGAATTTTCATAAAATTAATTTTTACTCGACTCGATAAATAACTAGTTAGTTTTGAATTTTTTTATTTATCGAGCTTGAAATACTTCATAATCTAGCGCTGTGTTCTTCTGGCTTTGTAGTCTGAGTCATCTCCGGTCTAATTTCTAGCCAAACTACTTTCAAATTCTATTGCTTCTCTTTAGCCTATTTGCCGAAGTTTGCTTCACAGTGCCTGCGCGGTCACCTAGAATTTTAACAATCCTATATCTTCCTCTAACTTCCAGTCGTATACATCCATTATTAATTCATTTATAAAAGTTTGAAAATGAGGACCGGAATTATTCTGTAGAACTGCCATACTTTCATTTAGCTCTTGTTATTTTCTTATTGTTATTTATTTATAATAGTATGAGCATGCAGCACAATGTAAATTCACCGACATTATTGGTATTTTTTTCTGAAGTGGGCATTCGTCTGTGACATTTTTATTAAATTTAATAAAATATAAGTTAGAATAAACCACTGTGATAAACATTGATAATCCTATTTATTTTTTTTTTAATCCGAATATCTATACATTTTTAATACCTATAGGTTTAATAATTTTCACTACCTATGCCGATTACAATTTTACAAAAAATAATAATAATAAAACAATGCACATTTTTATGTTAATAAGCCAATTTTTACATTTTCAAACTAACTTTTAACTTTCCTAGGTTAATATTATTTACAAAAAAAAAAAAAATCTTTTAACATCTTTGCTTATTATATTGTTTTCCAAATAGCCTAACGACTAATTTAATATACTATACCTATTATTGATTGTTTCAACAGACTTGTCAATAAATACGTTATTCGAGATAATATTATTATTTTTATTAAAATCATAATATAGAACAAAAAATACAGCTGCAGAGATAAATTTGTCCCACCTGACTCGTTAGTACTAAATTAATATTCTGTGTATAAGAGAACTTGAAACTTGAAATTTGAGTATAAAATAGTTGGGCAGGGGTTGAAAGTTTAAACCACCAAAAAGTACATACATCATTTATACTTACACCAAGCATATACAAATCTTAATTTTCCTCAATTTACTTGAATGGATAAGGCAGGGTAAAAAAGGGAAAAACCACCCTCTTCCTGCAACAACAAGGTGAAGTTTGCATATCGATATAAACAACATTTGATTATTTCAATCCTCTTGTACAAAACTTTAATTCCTGAGATTGAACTTATTTGATCCAGAGGGAGCTGCTATAATTGTCCAAGAAAGTAATACAGACACTAAACAGCGTATTAGTTTTTATTTTCAGGAAAAATTCGACAATATGCTAGAAAAGTTGGAAACGTGGAGTTATTTAATTCATATCTGTATGAATCAATAAATCATTATTCTATTAATAATAAAATATGATTCTAAGCGAAAGCAAATATCAAACATATTTTGAAAAAGAAAACCACTTAATTGCACTAACCTCTTATTTTACCACGAAATACAATTTATGATGAACTTCATCTAAAATGTCCATACATTTCTGCTCGGCTAAAATAAATGTATTTATCGATATAATATAATAAATAAATTAAAAAATATCAAATGCCTACAAATAGCTCTAAATAAATAAATAAATAAATAAAACAGTAACAACTAAATAAAATCGAAAATAATGAAACCATAATTGCCGTAAATTTTTCTATTTTTTCTATGTTTGTCCAATTGTTTGGAAAATTACAAGGAAATCGAAACATTACCTCTCTAGTCAACCAACTATAAACCAACTAGACATAAGCCATTTAACTGCTTTTCAAATGCTACACATTTGAAAATCGGATTATGATTTCTGGTTGAAAAGTGATTTGCAGACAAAAATAAATAAATGAATAAAGCACACCTCATAGTAAATCATTTACCCGTCTACAGATTCTAAAAATATCATATTTGAGTTTCCGACAATTGTAGATAAATTATAATTTCGAAAAATTATATAAATTAAAATACGGTAGGTAACGAGGAAATAATAATAATAATAATAATAATAATAATAATAATAATATTGTTGTTAATATAATATACCTACACACCTATACAATTATACTGCTACTGCTGCTACCTATAACGCATCGGAAATAATGAAACTGAAAATATGTTTCTGACACGTTCAGCGGCACTTGACATGGGTTAGAGGTGGTGGTGGAAACACTACGCGCATTCCGTTTATCGATAAATTAATTTCACTCCAAACGGCCATTCAAAGAAGAGAAAACCGTTCAAAGGACTCAAATACTCTTCTCTCTCGGCTCGCCTCGGTATATTATTATAACGCGTGCGTGCATGTTTTCGTTTTCATATAAATAGACCGGTGTAACCGCGAAAATTTACCCCCGTGTTATTTTAAATAACTTTCTCAATTACTCCTCACTCCGGTGAAATTTTTATTGTGAATATTTAATATTTACATCCCTAACCTGGTAAAATATCTGTAACTCCCTTCCTCTGTCCGTAAAATATTATTGGGTAGTCAATATTCACTGGCAAACCAGTTTGTTTTAAGAAAAATGTTTTTGTGGTAATATAGATAAAATTTTAATCAAAAAGTTAAACAACATATAGATTATTTTTTTTTTTTTGAAATACTGAAAATTTTAACTAATTTTTAAAAAAAATTAACAATATTTTCATCAATGACGTAGTTATTTTTTTAAAATCAAAATTATTTACTCATATTTTGAAGAAAAAAAAGACTTACTTGAATAAAATTCAAGAATAAATAAAAAGACTCTGATGTTTTTTTTTGCATATATTTTTGTTGAACATTGCGTATTTCTGTTCAAATGGACATGCAGCTATGTAATAATTACACGAGTCTTGTATAGTAGATATATCTATTGAAATATAAATCTTAGAGTAATAGAACGCGTTTCACAAGTGTATTGTGTTTACACTATACATTAGTAATGGATTGAGTTAAAAAGTAACTTTTAGTATAAATAAGCATTCATTTTCTGGAAAATATTTAACTAAACTTGGTAATTTAAATTGATTTAAATTTAAAAATTCAACTTAAAAACCAGTCAACTTACCTAGCTTTGAGTACACGTACACTTAAATGACATTTGTCATGTTTTCGCGCAGCGCCCATTTTTCTTTACGTTTGCATTTGCGCCATAACAATATTATGTCATTACACCGTATGTGCATCTTCTACCCATATATTATTATAATAAAGTCGTATAAAATAGTATATACGCGAGTGCACAATACTTTATACGCGCATAAATCAACGAGGATGTATTTCGGAGCTCGTCGAAAAATGAATTCGTCACTGGCTGCGTTGTCAAAACGCTTATACGCTGTGAACCACGCGGTGTATAAAACTATAGGTAAACTTATATCATGAACTCTCTGCTGTGAATACGGACAGGAAAGAATCGACGGACAATCGTAAAAAAAACGTCCAATGTTATCGAATAATTTCACCCGAAAAAGACAATGTGTCTGTTATATGTATTTTCTTTGCATTACATTCGGATACTTTAACCACGGCTCCCTCTTGACCGAATTCATTAAATTTCGGGATTCGGAATAGTTTTATAGACGGACTGAACCTATGCAAGTTGAGTTATGATTTTCACTTACGTCCTTATGTTTTTTTTTTCGTTTTTGCACCTCTACAGTTTATCCAAATGAAGCAAGAGGATTACATTTTGTATACATACGCACGACGTCAGTCGTCAAGAATTTGCCATTTAGTGATCTTAAATTTAATTCCCACCTTGCCATTTTTATGAATTAATATAAATCATTTTTTTTTTTTTCAGAAATACCTAGTATAATTGCATTATAGTATAGTATTCGGTTGCTCATTATTTTGCAATGTATATTGCTATTATAAAAAATGGGAGGGTGATAATTCAACTTTTATGAGGGTCATCTGCTGCTCCCGTATGATCTTTTATTCTAGATGCGGGGTATTCACTTTCAGAGAATTGATTGGAGCTGAACATAGGTAACAAGAACTATAGGTAATAAGAAGCTGTAGAACCCAGTTGAAAAGATACTTGTGACAATAACTTTAAGCTTAATCGGTCAGTAGTTTTAAATTTCCAATAACTCAACAACTCAATGCGTTATTTCGGGTATTAGAAACATTGCAATTATCTAACGCGTTGAAAAGCAAAACAATTAAATAATTGTCATTATTCATTAGGTTTCGGTAGGTATTTTTTCAAAAATTATGTAATAATTCAAATACATCAATAACATTATTGAACATTAGTATTTATTTTTTATGTTTGTTGTATTTTGTATTATTAAAAAAAAAAAGACAATTTTTTTAGAAAAAATCTTTGGTAAATATATTCAGTATACAATTTTATTTAATAATATAGTTTAATTATTGAATGGGAAAAGAAACGATACACCTTTGTCTAACTTAATTAATTATTTTCATCGAATCACTTCTATATTAATCAAATTGAGAATTGTATAACTCTAAAAAACCAATTTTTAAAGTACGGATGTTGAATTTTTTTAATAACGTACTCAAAATTGATAAGTTATTGAGACAAATTACTATAATAATGAACAATTTATTTTCATTGTCACATTATCATTTGCTAGACATTAGATTTGAGAAGGTATCTACGATAGAATCATCGATTTATCAAGATAATCTGCAAATAATCGTTTTTGTTGCATGTGTTTAAATAAAAATGCACTGCTAGCGTAATACATAAAACGCAAAACCATTTACGGAAAAATTCCAGTGAAAACCGTGGAGATTTAAATTGTTCGGTATCACTTGGATCGTTGATCTTAATGTTATTACGTTACACTTACAACATAATTTCGATCAGTAGCAGCGGTTTTTTTTTTGTTTTCAAAGTTTAATTTTAAACATTCTGATCGGTGTTTTATATACTATCCGATGCGCACTACTCCGTGAATAGAATATTAATTTTTCAATTTCGGCTTCAGCCTGCACGTACAAATAATATGATATCGACGTAGACGACCGTCTGTCAGTCTCGAGACTATCGCGATCCAGTGGCGTATCTAGATGTTTTTTACATGGGGGGAGACGTGAAATTTATTTTCACCCACTCTTAAAATAGAATATAATTTAAAGAAGTAACGTCATAGCTATAACAACTTTATTAATAGACACGGAAATTGGGCTCTTTCATATTTGTAAAATATAATATTATAATGTGCGTTGTTTATTGATTTCATAATCGATGCTTTTCTTATCTGGTCTAAACTCGTTAACTTGCACTGAACTCAAATCAAATTCAACATTTAAAATCGAAATTAAGCTTAATCTGAATAATTAATTTGGATTCAAAGCCTTGCTTTCAATCTTTGTATACGTTGAGCTAATTTTTAGTATACCTCTATGTTTTTTGTTGTTTTTAAAAACGAAATCAGAAACTCTAACATTACCAAAAGACACAGAAGGAATCCTGAGTCATCATTTGCATATTATTATAGAACTAGACTAGCAGAACAGGTCTGACAAAATGCGTTGAGGAAATAAAGACTCAAAGGTCAAACAATGAAAAGCATTATACGCTCTTGGAAACCCAAGAGGTAAAATGCAACACGAAAGACCACAATTCGATTTGGGGTGAATGCTTCAAGAAGGACTTTGCAAACTTCTCATAAGTCAAACATATTATTGAAATTCGGGTTGACCTGAGGTATAGCGAACGGTCGAGAAAAATGGAGGAAGATATTTTGTATTTGGCAACGTGGTCTCAATGGTCTTGACCACAAAAAAATAATAACTGCTGGTATACAGGACATTGTACTTACCTTCAGTAACGTGCACTTTAGCACTTATATTATATCAAAATATATATTTTTAAAAATGGATCAATATTTTATAAGATAGTGTTTAGGGGAAGGGCTTAAGTTTTTCAAAACGGTTAATTACTCCGTTATGTATAACATAAATGTATTTATCAAAACTGGATATAACCAAGACTGTTTTAAAAATATATATATTTTTTTTAATGTTGCTACTGATCATGCGTTTTACGTTACAACTCTTAAAAAAATAACTATTTATTTATCACGAAACACTAGACCACAACGTAAATAAAAAGTTGAGTTATGTTGCTAAGATGATTTTTTTTAACTTTTAACTACATACTTTTATATAATATTCAAGCCAGTATAAATATATAATCATTCTTAGAATTGCATTGGCCAGTAACTGAGGTATGATAATTTAATTTTTTTTGTTGTTATTATTGCAGTACTGCAGTTAAACTTTTGTCACTGCCAGTTACTTTTAAACGGCCGTCTTTATTTAAGTTAAAATCGATTTTTACGATATCCAGAGTTATAACAACGAACCAGAATAAAACAAACGGCAGATATGACGTTTTAAACACAGTATTTTCACAAAAGCATTATGAACATTTCAATATTTATAAAATGTAAATACTCTGTTGTACCTGCGTCAACTAATTGTTTAAAAATATTCGACATAAATGTGTTCAAAATATTTATTTGAAACATTTGTGACAACGTGTACCTAACTCAGCATATTTAGTACGCATTTGTAGAATACATTATGAAAATATTTAATTTTATTTGTGTAAAGGAATATGTTCTGATAATATTGTAAAAACATTATTAAACTTTCCGAAAAATGTATTTATATTTTCTACCAAACGTATTCAAAACATTATTTCGCTGTGTAAGTTATTACAATCTGTATTATTGAACCACCTCTAACAATAATAGATGTTTCGTGCTTACAAACACCCCCCAACAACAATCTTACCCCCGAACAACGTCTACTTTGTTAAACTTATGACAGAAAATTTCACGTTATTATGAAATTATTTTATTATTATTTTTACACATAAGCAGTGACAAAAAAAAAAAAGGCACACGCGTGTGTTCCAACAATAAAACTATAAAACACCGTGAACTATTTAGTGATTTAGTGTTAGCCGCCGAACGTATAAGCACAATATTATCATAATGGTAGTGGGAGGTCGTCTAATATATTTATAAGTTTTGACGGTTTACGATTGTAGGTATGTCATATTGCCATAAATAATAGTTATTAAGTAACAAACCAAGAGGTAACAAACTAATGATGTACAGAAAAAGACGTTATGCACAATTAATGTACATCCTGTGTAATATCTAAGGCAAAACTAACAGTTCTAAATACAAAATTGTATTTTGAATATTTTAGGATTTCGTAAATTTATAAAACATATTTAAACATATCTCGTAAATTTTTTAGACGTTTCCTACTTAACGAATAAAAATAAATAACAACTAATAATCAATTATAATACAATTTTAAAAATGTCTTTTTTTTTTTTAGATATTTTATGCTCTAACGTGTATATTTCAGTATTTTAATTGCATATTTGCATATATGATTAAAGGTTTTTGGAGCATATCTCTGCCCCAGTAATAACGAAGTAGTAACTTTGAGTACCTGCAAAATTGTTGGCATTACATTATATTTTAATACGTTTCAATGTTAAATATTTTGTGAAAAAAGAAAACTCAAGGTGTTTATATAATTATTATTGGTTTTAGGTGCACTCTTTTAAGTTGATTATTGCAGATTCTGTTTAGTAGCTGCAGCATCTAAAATCGCAAAAACTATTTCGACTATTAGAACTAAAATTCTACGACCTACCTGTACATTGTTTATTTAGTACAATTTTTGAACCCTGGATTCCTAACACATATTGTTATTATATCAGTGGTAGAAAACGGAAAATTAAATCTGAGGTCCAATATTTTTGACAACCAAAATTACCAAGATGGCTTTTTTTTTTTTTTTTGTAAATTTGATAGCGTTTTTCTACTTATGAACACATTTTTGAGGTTTTGGGTATCCGTCATTAACGGGTGGCCCATACGTCAGTAAACATATTTTGGCTTCACGGTCATTTTACGAGTTTAGCCCTCAATGAAATATAATAGTTTAACTATTATATTTCTAATAGCGTCATAAAAATATAATAATAATAATTTTGAAGGATGCATAGTCGCGTGGAAATCAAATAGAGCGGCACGGTTTTAATACAATAATAGATATGTAGGTACTTATATAGTTTTGACGTTGGCACGTGCAGTTTCGTTTTGTCAAACAGCAAAAAGATGAAAATCCCAGTAGATATATTGACTATACATAGAATGATCCACTTATCTTCTTGATCCAATTTTCTTGGAGGGTTGTAAGTGAAATTGATTTTTCTTTTTTTCTTTCAACCTTTAAGGATTCGTTTCAGTTTTATTTTGAAACTATTATTTATATTCCATTCTACTCCTTAAACCTTAAATAAATATAAACTTTTAATTTTAAAATAAGAACAGACCCCTCTCCTTTTTATACATAAATACAAACAGAAAACATTTTTCAACATAATTTTATATCTATGTATGACACTAATATCAGATTTACTTTTTAACACGAGAAATAAAGAGGGTATCTACCCCTCTTTATTGTATAATATACATCATATTAATTTTACGTGATAATTTGATAACGCTTATCTATTCATGCAGTCTAAACTTTGAAGTGTTATAACTAATAAACAATAAATCTAATATTGTTATAGCGTGTTATGTGTGTCAACAAGTACAGACAGATATTTTTTATTTGAATTTGTATTTACAAAGAAAAGTGATATTTGAAAATCTAAAGTGTATACTCATTTCATGTATAAGGAATATGGGCAAAATATTGAAAATAGTGTTAAAATAAAAATTTAACGATTTAATAATAATCGAAAAGAAAAAAGAAAATTACATTCACTCACAAACTTCCAAACAATTTTCTGGTTCACGATAAGTGAATTAACCTGTATACGGACATTAAAACTTATTTATATTTACCATAATAAAAAAATATTCGGTTTTTTGTTCGTTTTACGATCGGTCGATCGCAGCATACCTACCGCTCTGCTTCACTCTAGCGTTACAACGATATACATTACTTAAAACTTTTATTCTTGTACGTTAATTTCATTCAAACAGCGATTATGAAGGTTGAATACGGCTTTGTCGAATTATACTCTAATATGAAAACGATTTCACTGTATTCTAGAGCTTTACACCATCCGGGTTTTCAAAGATCGAATCAGTGAAGTGAAGTGAAATTAAGACCAGAACCGGCTCTGACCGGTTTTAAATATATAAATCAGGACCGAATAGGGAATTTCGTGTTATGTATAAATGTTTAAGTTTATTCAAATCTTTGAGTTTTCTGTACTTTTCACACATGCCTATTATTTATATGCACTTGTACTAGTGTTCAACGAAGTACAAACCCCAAATGAATAATATTTAATAAAAATCAAAACTAAAATTATGAACATGTGATATTCTAAATTTAAAATCTACGACAAACAAAGCATATCACTTATCACGAATCACATGACAGTTTTTTAATTAATTAAAAAACTTTGAAAAAACCATTAACCATATCATATATAATTGTGTTATCGGTGTTATCGTCGTGTGTATTTGAAATTATTTCGGCAAAGATAGACGACTAGAGAAAGAATTGGCAATATTGACCCAGACAATAGCATATTAATAACATAAGCTACAATAGTAGCACTAGTATTAAAATTATTATCGGACGGTCGGCACTATATCGACTTTTGAATTGGATCGAATCGGACCATACTGAATAGTACCGGACTAGACCGATCCGATCAGTTTAATTTGAAGATTCCGACAGTTGTGAATTCCAATATAAAAAGATTGAAAAAACCGGGCCGTAGTGCATCTATAATCGCGAGTTTAAATTATATTTATATTTTTTTTTCCTTTATTTTTAGACATTTCTTGCGACTCCCACTGAACCAAATAAGTTCAAAATCGTGAATTAGTGTTGTTTTGTTGACGGGTTGAATTTTATAAATGCAGATTTAATTTCAATATTAAGAATTTAAGAATGTATTGTTACAGGTGGAGGGTAATTTTTTAGCTTTATTTACCTTTACAAACTCGCAAAATGACGCCTAGGGTATGAAATTTTGTGTCTAGCAATTTAGTATCCAGGATGGGCCATTAGAGGTTTTAATTTTGAACATACATCTCTACCTTTTGAATGATCTGTATCATTTTTTTTTTTTTTTTTTGTGAGATAGTAGAATTATTTAGTATATTACAGCGTATTGTGTTATTAAAGTATTCGATCATTAATAAAATAGAAATATGTTTTTATACAAAAACAATGGAAAGAAGGAGTTCAAATGTAGTGAGTAGTGACTGGCTGCTTACGGTTATTATTATTTTAACTACCAAATAAAAATTTAGAATATAATATATGTATATAGTACGAATATACTTTTCCATTCGATTAAACCGTGGCCCGCATTTAATTTTAATTATAATATATACTAGGAAATATACTGGGACGTGGTTTCGCCCGGGTATAATAAATACGAGCACGTCCGGACTTTTTTTTAAATTTATAGGCAGAGGCTTTAGTGACGTGGGCAGTCGGACTCTGCGATACGTAAAAATGGTTTTATCTCATTCTTCTCTCCTCTTTGGTAATAATAAAACCGTAACGAAAAAGAAAACAAAATGCCAACTAACCCTTGCCTCTTGCAGTCTGTCGCAAGGATACGGTGCCATACACGCGAAATTGATATGTATATAAAAATCGAGCCATTCTTATTCCGCTCACGAAAAAACCTCAGAGAGCCTTATTTCTTCATGCTGGTCGTGTTTTATGTGAATTCACTACGACGACGACGACACAATAACAATACGACTATATATATGGGCCAGAATATTATTGTTTTACGTGAGTGTCCGCCGGGCAATAAAAATACGACATCTACTGGACAATAATAATACTGTCTTCCAAAAA